TGGAACTTTCATTAACGTATGCTCTAGATCAAACAAAATATTCACTAAGACGTTTTACGCCATGGCCAATAACATTTATCAACAGTGATTTTTTTTATTTCTCTTAGACTATACTTCAACATTGAAAGAACCGTATAAACAGGGTGTCCCACGTAACTTTAGCCAGAGTTTAAAAAAAAATATTCCGAAACGTGTAATTACGACGCGACCAAATGTATAATGCTCATGGTTGCCTGGAGTTAGTCGAACTATTTTTTGTGTTCTAAAATATTGTTTAATTAGATCTGTTTAATTAACTGCCTTTTGAAGGAACGAAGATGGATAAAAAAAATTTCAACGAGAAAGTTGTAGGTCGGTAAGCAAAACGATCAAATAAATAGTCTTTCAACTTTATATCTGTCGAGTGTTAGTGTTTTTCTGCTAATTACAAATACCCGCGAAATACAAAAAATGACCACGTGACAAACCAGCTCGTGCGTCAGTGAGCACAATGATTCTAGTGCTCCCTTAGAACGTTCCGCGTACTAACGACCATAGATAGCATTTGCCCCATAGTTCTGTCTCGGCATGGCCGCAACAATGGTGGTGGCTTAACGATGAACACGTCTCGCTATCGGCCGCAAAAACGATAACCGCTGTGATTGCTTATCGTTGTCATGAAGCGGTGCGAGGGAAGCGTGTCGTTCGTACGCGGAACGTTAGGGAGCACTAGAATCATCGCACGCACTGACGCGCGAGTGGGTTTGTCACGTGGTCTTATTTTCTATTTCGCGGGCATTTGTAATTGGCAGAAAAACACTAACACTTCACCGATATAAAGTTCAAAGCTATCTATTTAGACGTTTCGCAAACCGATCTACAGCTTTCTCATTCAAATTTTTTATCCATCTTCGTTCCTTCGAAAGGCAGTTAATTAAACAGATCTAATTAAACAATATTTTAGAACACAAAAAATTGTTTGACTAACTCCAGGCAACGGTGAGCAACATGCATTTGGTCGCGTCGTAATTACGTCTTCCGAAATATTTTTAAACTCTGGCTAAAGTTATGAGGGAACCCTGTATTGTGCATAAGTATGTATAAGCATAGTGTATGGAGTGTATAAAAAAGTATAGTAACGTATAAGAATGGTGTATATGAATGGTCTATAATGACGACATCATTCACTCATAATGCGTGACTGCATGCCATATCTCGTTACGTGAATGACTGTACTTGGATCTACAAAGCTCATTCTTCGTTTCTCAGTGTAGCACGTAGGAAAGCCAGAATCACACCCATAGGAAATGATTCAAATTCCAACCAAAAGTTTTGAAGAAACCCGACGTTTCTTAAATCATTTCCCACTTTTCATACCCAACCTGACAGACATATGTCAAATATTTACATTCAAAAATAACACCCATCAATCTGTTGTAAAATGTCGAAATATACTGTGGACGCTACGTTTAATCACTTGCAAGTTCACGTACGAATTTGAATCTTTTTTTTTCTTCGCGCAGGCTAATAAAGATTATGTATATATATGCTGCAGTCGGCAAATGTCTTGCTAAAGCCTGCCAACAATATGGAGTGCTTGCAAAATTACGACCTACGGGAAAACAATAAAACGTAATCTGACGAACAACGACCGCTCGTAGTGCTGTCAAACTTTGGAAACTTTTTGAGAAAAGCCAGACATGTAGAACCCCCCCCCCCCATTTTTTTATTCTACTTCAGCGCGAACCGCAGCCTTATCGCCATTCAGTGGCGCACCTCTTACACAAATTGGTTCTCGCGGCTACAATTCCTATCCAGAAATTGCCCTAAATACCACTCACACGGTTACTGTTGCAAAGCATTTACCATAATAATAAAAAAAAAAAAAACGGCTTGCGTATACACTTTTGAAATTGTCCAGATACATACATTGTGACGCTGCTTTTTTAATAAGTGTTGCAGCACTCGTTTCCAGGCAAGAATCGATATGAACCGTTTATTATAATCATTCCGTGGTTTTTTCGAAGCATTTTACAGAATGCTTTTCTGCATAAACTTTGGTGCTGAGCTTAAACACGACACATGGTATGAAAGAACAATAGCGCAACGCTTCTCTGTCTCGCGTTTATGCTACGCACATTAATGAGTGATTAGTATCCACTTATCAAACTCGCAGCTGTGTTGAGCTTGTTGCGCAATGCTTTGATTCAACACGGCCGTCTGCGTATATACGGGCACACTCTATATTAGAATGGCAATACACAAAAAGTAAAGCAACTCTGTAGTGGACATGCCGCGAATATTAATCAGTTTATTGCGCGAGGAAGGCACAGTGGTTCTACGGCCATCTTATCTTTGCGTGCTTCGTTAGATGCGACGAGTTCATGTGAAGACCGGCACATTTCTCTCTGACGTGCTAAGCGTTCATAAAATTGAAAAAAAAAAAAAACGGCCAGGCATCACGGCTGCTATACAATACCAGGAGAAGCATTTAAACGCCCAAGGAAAACCGAGTCAGCCCACCACGGGGCCTTAGAGGTCGAGGGATCACGTTAACCAGCTTATCAGCTACGATAAACTTTTTTACGTCAGCGCTGCTGCATATATTTGCGTCTATACTGCAGAACTGGAGAAATATGCACGTGTATTTTCTATCTCGCACGCAGTTCACGTTCGTTAGCGAACCTTTTCCAATGCTTTCCCAGTTAGTTCTCGAGCTTTTGGATACTTTCGGCGTCCCTCCAGTTACTGGCAGTTATCTGTTGTTGACGTCTGCGTCATGCGAAACCCCGCTCTCAACATTTTAACGCGTATCTTGCCCGGTAAGAGCCGAGGGAGGCGCGGTCGTGGGTGTCGTTTACCCGAAACAAGCTCTGTTTGTACGAAAATAGTTCGTGTGCTGTAACGAGAATGACAGTCTTGTTACAGAATGTGAGATGGAGACCTGGAGGTTTGTACAGTATCCGAGTCAGGGATGTCAAACACTTCGTAGAAAATGCTTAGAGACTGGGGCAACAGCTAACGGTTGCACGCTGGGACAAAGCGTTGAGACAAAAGTCGCTTGACGCTTTGTGTGGTAGAACATTCGCTTGGCATGCAAACGACCCGGGTTCGATCCCCTCTCAGACTCCCGTTGACGATTCGACAAAAGGGCAATGGCTTTCCCACAAGCAGACTTTACCCCACCCCGGCAAATGACGGGCCTGACAAAGTCAGGTCAGGACACTTGTTGGTCTTTGACCATATCTGCATCCTGACCTTGACTGTCCTGACAAAGTCGAGCACGCTTGTCGAAATCTTGACCCTCGCGCGAGGTATTCATTGTTGAGGCCACTGTTCAATACCACTAAACGAAGTTGCGGAAGATGGAGAACCCAAACTAAAACGATCTTGCCTCACCTTTGAAAAGACGATTAGAAACAGTATGCCGCCGTTGTGGAATTAACTGTCATGTTACGTAGCTACCAAAATTTGCTGAGTCACTTTGCTGAATAAATCGTAACTTACTACTGTCGAGTAGTTTCAAAGAGAGGGAGGACGGTAGAGGGGGTCATTAACGCATGGAAGTAATGTCTCGCTTTCATTTTAACAAATATGGGAGTTTTATGAATATAAATGTATCAGAAGAGGCATCCTTCTTTTTAACCCTAATGACAAAGTGCAACGAGGTGAGTAGAATTTCAGTTATTTGAATACATTAACTTCAAACACGAAATATCGTTTGAGCTGTTTTTGGCAAACCCGTGTGTTATGAATCTTTCATCCAACACGTGACAGAAGCCGGCGCGTAGCTCTTCCTTTACACATCGGCTGAACACACAATATTTCAAAGGATTCCTGTCCGAAGCAAGAACACTCTGAGGCAGCGCTTCGAGGGTTATTTATCGTCGGGCCGCCGCAGTCCTATGCGGCATCGAAATATACTCAATCCTTATTTACCCGTTCACTCAAAAAGTTCTTTTTTTTTATCATTTACGCGATGTCACTGAATGCGACTGAACCTTTCTTACCGAAAAGTCGGAACTATAAATGAATGAGAACGTTGTTGTTTTTTCACAATTATTTCAAGGTACGTATTTCTGCATCTTGCCGTTTTTTCTCATTTTCAAACAAGTTGGCTGTTCCACATAGATCCCTGTGCCTTCACTGGCAGAATCAGGGACAAGATTAAGACAGGCTTGGTACATAGCATACGTGGGCCTAAATCCAATCTTCAATTTCATAAATCCACACTTCAATTTACTCTGTTTAAGTCCTATTCATATCTGACTCAAATCCCTGTTTTAATATAACAGTTTTCTTCATCTTAAGTAAACAGGCAATACCGCAGACACCATCAGACGAGACATTTCTCGACATTGCAAGAACGGACGTGCCCATTCGGATCCACGGACAGATTAATAGAATAAGCTTAGTTGGTTAATTGCCGATTCCCGTTATGGAATATAACATTCGCTTTCTGCTACTGAAGACGTAGTTAACGCGCAACAAAGTGATTGCTCGCAATGCATATAGTCGAAATATGGGACAGCCAGTTTGTACAATGCGCCATGGTGTTCAAACCGCTACGTCATTGCGCTAAGAAGGAGGACGCGGGTTCGATTTCCAAATGAAACCAGATTCCCCTCACCTTCCCTCAAATCAGCACATAAACGCACTATGTGCCTCGCAACAATATTGTTGTTTTTGATTAAACTTGTCGCTGAGCGAGTCGAATTCATTCCTGCAAGGCAAAGTGGTATGTGCAAAACGTACTGAAGGACAAAGTAAGAAAACACACGGATGATTTCAGTGCACGATCAATGAGCTTGCCCATGTTTTTTGTTAATGTTTGCGTGTGCACAGTTAGCGCATTCAATTTTTCCTTAAGGTATCGTGGTTTTTCACATAAAAGAACACCCAAAGCTGTTTGCCGGCGGTTTTGTAGTCAGTAGAAGAAACGCAAGCTGGCAGACACCATATCGAGAGCATGCATAATAAACGACCCATTTCACGCGCGTTTTTACAATGTACATGCCCACCTGTTGAAGCGCCTGCTGCTGCTTGGGGCTGAGATCCCCGACGTGGCCGCTCATGCTGGCTGCAAGAATTTCTCCGGGTCCTTTGCGCAACAAACGAGACAACACGCTCCAACAACACTCGGGGTGTACTTCGAAACCGCGCCGGCTTCCAGGTGGCCCCTTTCTCGTCGTCCGGCGGCCGGTTGCGCAGCACCCACTCTCTTCTTGCCGTACTACCACGCTATCGAGTCCACAGTGGCCGCTCGAACGAAATCGAAAGGGCCGCGCGCGCCACACACACGCGCACACGCGCACACTGGGAGCGCGTCGAGTCACTTCAGCGAGCAGCGATTCACCAGAGATCACTGCAGCCTCCAGTCGAGGTGTTGCACTGAACTTCCCGGAGGATGAGTTGCCTTGCGCTAAGCGACAGTGAAGTGATTAAAGGGCAGCTCGCAAATCGAACGGCATGCTGCGGTATACTGGTGCCGCACTCGCGACGGAAGCGAAATTATGTCGTCTGCACTCGCTCGCGGGGATCGTTCGCCCTCTCGGAGAGAAACGCGAGACGAGAGAGCAAGGGGAAGGCTTTGACACGAGGCGAGAAAGCGCCTCCTCTGAACGCGAGATTGGGGGAAGAGGAGAAGAGGGAGCGCCACGGACTCCTCGAGCGGCGAAAGTTCTCTTCCGTTCCCTCTTGTCTCGCCGTATCGAGGAAACAGAAAAGCAGGCGTGACGGCGGTCGCCAAGAGAGCAAGTGTTCTCGTTTGAAGAACAGGGAGAGGTGCGTACGTCTGTGGGCTGAAAGTGAGGCTAACGTGGTAAGGAGGTAGAGGGGATGAGGGAAGCGCAGGCAAAGTAACACGCGCTCTCTATCAGCGTTGGGAGAGAAGGTCCTTGTACCGAAGGAAAACAAATGTCGTGACTTCAGTGTATCAATGAAAGTGAACCATTCTCTCTCTCTTTAATAAAATGGAGGAAGAGGGGCACAAAGGACAGATGACGTATCGCGGAGAGCGGGCAAATACCGAAGTATCTGGCACGCCACCTTCGTATTTAATTCGTTTCTGCACTAATGGTGGAGAAAACTAATTTTGCATACAATGTGCAATGACAGTTAATTGAAACCTGAGTTGGGGAGAAGACCGTTTGTAGGGTATCACTTGCCATCGTGAGATGGCACAGTCAACTAAACTGACGTAATATTTCGTGAAATGTGACACAGCAAGCTTCACACCCAACTCCAAGCCATCCAGAGGGTCCGCGTCGTTGCGGCGCGAGTTTGATTTCCAGTCCCATTGTCGTTGACATTTGATAGGAGGGAGACGGAGGGGTGAGGGGTAGTGAAGCTTTCCTAGATCTCAGTTCCTCATGACTCAAAAACGTTGTTGTGGCGGCATTTGTTCCATGCCTAGAAACCGCCATAAGTTTAGTTTTCAGCGGTTAACGAGACAGTGAAAATAAATGTCTAGATAACATGTTGATTACTTTTATTCAGATAAAGAAATTGTCTTTTTGTTCTTTTTTCATTTGTATAATCTTCTAAGGAATATTTTGTCATTCAAGCAGCGCAGGCTAAACATTTTTGGTTTGCACGAATACATGATGGCACTTACATAAAATTTTCAGGAGATTTTTTGGAAAAAAATGTGCGCAGATATGCCAATAAAATTGTCATGAGATGAGTGACACGAGACAGTGCTAATCAGTATTATTGAACATGCGGAAAGTTACAAAAAAAAACCTTAAGTTATATCTTTTTTTCTAGCAAGTTAGTCTTTTCTTACTTATTTGTAAAACCTGGGCATTTCTGCGAACAACATTATTAAAATCCATGAGAGTAAGCTCGCCTCGACAGTTATGAAGGATTTGTAGGCGTAGATGTAGCGGATGGAGCGAAAGCGTGCTAATGTGTGAGGTCAGACTGACCAGCTTTGCCAACGTTGCCTAAGATGACACAGTGATCTAGAAACCATAGAAAGACGACGTGACACCTTTTCTCTGAAGCACTATGTCAGCTATCATGTTGTCAAATACTGTGTGTTCGCAGCTTCCTTCAAATACTGGCCAACAGATGTTATCTAAAGAACCGCTTTATAAAACATGACCCGACCATTTTTGCCCTACTTCACTAACGACATCACTAAAATACTAGATTGGCTACAAGTTCTGCTAATGTAGACGTCGTTAGTGGTCACATTCCGTGTTTACTTTTTGAGCCGATGAGCTAGACGGTGTACAATGTACAGACAAGAAAGGAGGGAAAATGAGTTATGGTAGTAAAATGAGGGATTGGGAATTAGGAGTAACCACCACCCTACGTTGGGGAAAGAGATGCGTATGTCATAATATATTCTATTAACGTCTTATTTAAGTATGATGTGGTTTTATTTATCCACATTAAGCTATATTTAATATGTATTTCCATAGCATGTTTACATCGTTTTGTTTTTGGCGCTGCATGGAGCGGCCCGCGAGGCTAGCCCTATAAAGCGGGTGTGGAATCATTCAGCACTGCAATGAAGTTTTTCATCCATCCATCTGCTGCAGATTAATACGCGTACCTTTGCATAAGTTAAGTGAGGTTGTATTTTGTTTCAACACGTTTGGTTCATTCTCGCTTTATTTTAACTGTATACGGTTGACCTGTCATGCTTATGTACGTTTTGACAATAAGAGGCAGACTTAGCCAAGCTGATTTGTGGCTTTTTTGTTTATATCCTTGGAAGCTGTACATCGTCCCGACAGATGTAAAGTAAAACTCATTGTTAGAGGTGTAAGGAGAGATGTTAATAGAATGATCAGAGGAACACGGAATGGAGGGAAAAGACAGGTGTATAGGTTAACCAGAAGTAACGATCCAGCGTGCTGTGTGGTGTTCGAAATGGGGTTGGCTGGCCGGGGCGAACACGAGTGGGTGTCATGCCCGGAACAGTCATCCGGAGAAGTAGGGGGAAGAGGCTACTTTATGTACAGCATTTACATGACTTTTCATTTAAGGCGCAGGAGTTATTTAGTACATCGGAATAAATAAATTAAATAACATGGTTGGGGTCCACCCCCTTTCGACCTCTCCACGTGGTGGCCAGAGGTTCACCGATCCTGCAGCAGTTACAGATACATAATGAAGAGCCCGATTGTGCCTCCAATGTTCATCGAATCCCTGCGGCGGCGGTCGCATTCTCGATGCAGGCGGAAATGCTCTAGGCCAACGGGCTCAGATTTGGCTGCACGTTAAAGATCCCGCGGTAGTCAAAATTTCCGGAGCCCTCCGACTTATAATCATGTGGTGGTTTGGGACGTTAAACACCAGCAAATGCAACACCTCGGCTCGGTGACAGCACTTGTCGCGCCTGGGTGGTATGAGGCCCGCCTGACGAGCAGATATGCATGGCGTCGGATAACCGACACTGCAGGTGCGCGGAGCTCTATCATTTCCCCCAGCATCCGGCTCAGGAATGTTCCTTTCAGTCGCGAAGAAGCGGGAGTGAACGAGAAGCGGCATCGGTCGTCGGGGTCGGCAAGGCAGTGACACAGCAGTGGAAAAATATTATTGCGCTGGAACAATCTGCCACTGACTGTGTCTCGCTAAAGGTCCTTGTCATGGGCAGTGAGGTCGTACACAAAGTCGAATACCAGCTATATATTTGAGCAATGTAAGTGTGACAGTATTACACGAGACTCACTCAATGATACAAACTGAAGCTCAAGCATCACATTGTTTTTTCGAAAGTAACCTATGGCGGTTGGAATAAGTTTTCGCGAAAGACAGAAATGCTCTCACTCCTAAATTCAAGGGCGAGCGTTCTTTCCCACATGGCCATGAAAGGTACGTGCTAAAGAAAAAGACCTTGTATGGAGAGTTGCTTCAGCGACACGTATATAAAAAACACCGCCCCGAGGGCGTTTTGAATAACTGAAGGTCATTTGTGTTCGACAAAGAAATCGTTCGCTACGCTGTTTCATGGAGAACGTACCGTTGATCTGTGGCGGATCATTCAGCGCTGATATCTCGAGATGCTTATCACTCGTAAGGCGGCTCTGTTAGGCTGCGGTGCTTTTAGTAGTTTCTGAGATCATTGTCAGACCAACTAAAGGTAAAAGAGCTGAACATATTCCACTTTTCGTGATATACGACCTGTTTGAAGCACCTTGACAGCTTCATAGCCGCGAAAAAAAAAGGAGAATGGGAATAGGGAAGTGCGTGATAGTCGAACGATTTCGATTTGTTTAGCCTTGCACCATTTCTATGCCTCGAATTCTATAGATCGAGCCCAAGCAGCTTCAACCGCAAATTATATAGGAAGTCGGTGGGTGCAGACAACCAAATGATACAGTTTTTCTAATCTTCTGAGGATATGCGGTGGAGCATTTAGTTAAGGTTTTCAAAATATTCATTAAAATTGTTCTGGTTCAAGTTAACAGTTACATTTAGTGCACACAATGTAGTAGCCTAACTTCGCTTGCAAGGAACCTCGAAAGCCTTTTCAACATGCTAAGAAAACACTGTTGATCGGTACTCGTGACTCCTGAGAACGCGCGAGTTAAACATAATAGCACAGCGTGCTGTTGGAACTTGCAATTTATTCTCACAGTCATGTAGAAATCAATCCGCCTTTTCTCGACAAATGAGTTGTTGGAGCGATGCCAAGTAGGTCAAGTCACAGCTGCGCGTTGACGTTTCTCGCTCTCTCACCCGCAGCAGCTGCCGGCTTCTCCCAACACACCGGTGTTGTTGCTCCACCACCCGCTCGCAACACCCTTCTCTCTCGCTTCACCCTCTCCACCACCCGCAACACTTTTACAGCATATACAGTCATCCTTATAGCCACTACAAGTTTGGGAGAATGACTTATCCCACTATCATACTGCAACCTCTTTAGGGAAGAGACAGTGTACTTCCGGAAAATTGAAACCGGCCCCATGCTTTTACGGTGCCCTTTTGCACGCTATGTATCCAATGAGATACCAAAAAGGCTGCACATTCTGCCCTCAAGTGAACACACTCTGCCATATGGTAATGCGCAAGTCCAGCAGTACCACCTTAACACTGAATTAAACGTCGAAAAGTGTGAGGCCCAACTGAGAAGCTTAAGCATCGAAGACCAGCGATGTGCGGTGTACAGGGCGAAGCTGTCAGCTTAGGACCACGGTATCCTGGACTAGGGACACCATCCACCTTCAATGAGTCCGTCGTCGACTTATTCCACCGAACAGAGTTCTTCTCTTGTCCAGCTCTTTTTATAGTTCTGTATTATGTCGCCGCTAATTTTCAAGGCCGCTGTAGATCAGTTCACACAGCAGGAGACAACGCGCACAACAAATTCCGAATCGAGAGACATTTGCATCAAGGAACATGGTGGTGCCTTGTTGATCACCTCGGAAAGAACCTTACGAGTTGTCTTCGCTCTCACAACAGTGAATCGTTTTGTCTCTTCAGACGACATCTTCTATTGCGCATTACCAGGCTGCTGCGTCATTGTTTTATCATCCACAAGTGCGACTCAATAGGTTCCGGCTAATGATTGCATGCGCTACGCTCGAACGACGGAACGAAGTATCGGCGATTGCC